CAGGGGGCGCCAAGGAGCCGGGGGGACCCGGGCTCCCGCCTGGAGGCTGGGGCTCGGAGGATGCAGCAGGGTGAGCTATTTGGTTTGGGGGCGGGGGTAGTCCTTGCGCACTGAGGCGCGAGCACCTGGAAGGGCCATCTCCAAGCAGGTCCCATCTAGCAGCGCTCAGGAGAGGCACGCCGGGGGCTGCAGCCTTGCACTGTCCCACCCCCAAACTTGGTGCTGATTCTCAGCCCAGACCTGAGCTCTCGGGTCCTCTTGATACTTGATGCCTGGCGCTAGCCTTAAAACCCTGATTCGTTTAGCGTCTTTGTAGGGAGAGGTGATTTTTAGATGTGAGCATCTAACCGATGAAGGAAGTTGGTGACTGATTGGCCTGTGGATACTGCGGGAGAAAATTTTTAGGCACTATTAGCCAACGGTGATCTGTCACACTTGGGCACACACTCAACCTTCTCCCCTTTGCCATTTCCCAGCCCCCTTACATTCCGTTATAATCCGCAAAGACTCTATATATCGTAGTTGTCTGCTGGACTCTTGACGGTGGTCGCTGGTCCAGTGCCAAGAAGGCAAGGCATGATGAGCGCTGCGGTGTGCTCCTCTGAGGAGGGCCTTCGCCACCTCGCGAGGAACCCAAAGCTGCAGCAGCAGTCTGCAGCATGCTGCGGCCTTAGCGGGCCAGTGCAGTACTCTGCCCTGCTGCCCCTAAGGCATCCTGGCTTTCCTTCTGTGGGGCTGAGTGATTTGTTTTGTCTCATTGACTCGCCTAAGAATAAAAGCCCCAAACCATGCAATTATATGATATATGACAAATGACACATTCCCACGTTTGTGCCATTTCTAGTAAGAGCTTGGAGACTAACTCGTAAAATTCTGAAAGTCAACTGAAGAATTGATGGGAATGCTTGTATTGTTTCCTGACCGTATAAAACCAATTTGCAGTTCTGCTTAGCCATTAGTGGCTGTTCAGGTGGATGATACATTATCAAGTGTGAGCATTAAAAGAAATGCAGAACGATGTTGCTTAGTCCTAATGTCAGATTCACGAAGTATGGAAAGCCGTGGGTAGGTGGTCTTATTTGCATGCTGGTTTCCTAAAACAAATACAGATTGATATGTAACTCACTCAATTGTTTGGGGCTGAGAATGGAAGGGACCTTGCTTTCAGACACTGAGTAAGGTGGACTTTGGAATGTCAGACTGCAGGGTGCATGGCGTGCCAAACAGGCTTCACAGGTCCCTGGCAGTCAGAAGAGCTGCCTGGAAGCACTGCATCGTGTGCTGAAGGGTTCCTGATACTGCAGCCCACTGCAGTAAGAAACTGTAGTCCCATGCACTGTGCAGGGGTCACAGAAAAGAATCCTGAGGGCTTGCAAAATGTGGCACACGGGGAAAGGAAGAATTCACCACACTTGCTGAGCAGGGGGCATGATAGAGTCATTTTAAACTGTATTGGAGAAACCTTCTGCAAACAGTGGGTAGAAATAACTAATGCTGCAATTTAGGAAGGTCATCCTTACGTGTCTTATTGGCCAAAGCTTGTAAGTGAGCTGAAATGGCATAAATATCTTTGAATGGAAACATCTCTAAGATTGTAAACACAGCAAAGTAATCAATTTGCCCCAGATTCTGCATTTTTAACAACAAAAAGAAAGTAAATAGCAATATGGTTCTCTGGGCTATCACTTTGGTGCAATCATTGTCACCCCGAGCCTTGCTGCAGCCATTTACAAGTTTCAATTGCACATAAGAGCATCATTTACCTTCCGTCTCAGGCACATGCTAAACTAGCATGCAATAGAATTTATAAATAGTTCTTTTTATAATGTATTTATTTCTGTTCTTTGTCTGGGTATTCTTAAGGATACATACAATAAACAAGCCAAGTCCTTGAAAGAATTTAGTCTATGAGTCCATTAATTTCTAATTTGTTGCTAATTTATCATTTCCTTTCCAAATAGTGGCATGTTGGTAATTGTTTTTTTTCCCGTGTGTCTGTGTAGTACCCAATACATCCTGGAGTTCAATATATATTAAATTAGCCAATCTGTCCTTTGGGGAAATTAATTTAGTAGTATTTATGCCTTCTCTTCCTGCTGGGTTCTCATTTAAAAGAGAATAATTGATGGAATATAAAAGTCATAAATTTAAGACTAAAGGTAAGGGAGGAAAGAGAACGGTCATGACACAAATCTCTCATACCAAGAAATGAAAAATCACAATGGAAATGTTGTAATTTATTGCTTTTATGACAGAGAATTACCACTGTAATCCCAGAGGACAGGGAGTAAGGAGAAAATAGTTTGCAGTGTGTTATGTAGAAGTGATCCATTACATAGCCCTTCTTGTCTTTGGATTCTCCACCACATTAGCAATAAACCTAAGGATCCAAAAGGAAAGTCAGGTATTAATTTTATTTAGGGTAAAGTCAGAGTAAAAACCATTGCTCAGACTCAAGACCAAATCGAGTACCTTATCCCCATTTCCCTAAATCAGTGTGCCCGCCCCCATTACAGCCAAAAATGATCACACTAACACAGAGAGCAGACCAAACCAACTTATACAATTTCCTGCAGAGAAACCAGAGTCTTGAGACCTTGGCACTTTCCCATCTATAAGGTACACATTAAATGGGCAGGAGACGAGTACATGTATGAGAAGGGAGTTTTATTAATTTTCACTAGTTAACAGGCTGTGATGTTACTCTTTTTGTTTGTTTATTTTGCTTTTGTTTTTAGAGACAGGGTCTCTCTGTATAGACCTGTATGTCCTGGAACTAACTCTGTAGACCAGGCTGGCCTCGAACTCACAGAGATCTGCCTGCCTCTGCTCTCAAATGCTTCCATCAAAGGCGTGCATCATCCCACCTGGCTTGTGATGGTTAATCTTGATTGACAAACAAATTATCAGTTTGATCAAATAGAGAGGTGCCTAAGAGATTAACAAAACACACCCCTAGATTTGTTTGTGGTAACATTTTCAGAGGGGTTAAGTGAGCAGAGCAGAGAGAGTTGCCATGAATCCTTGTGGGCAGCATCGCCCCATAGGCTAGAAGGTCAGATAGCATAAAAGAGGCATATAAAAAATAAAAAGAAACACAACATGGACATGCTTGTATTCTCTCTCTCTCTCTCTCTCTCTCTCTCTCTCTCTCTCTCTCTCTCTCTCTCTCTCTCTCTCTCTCTCTCTCTCTCTCTCTCTCTCTCTCTCTGTGTGTGTGTGTGTGTGTGTCTGTCTGTCTGTCTGTCTGTCTGGAACATGCCTTTCGTAATGTGAGCTGTTCTACCTTATCACCCATGATGGATTGAAAACACAAGCCCCCAAGGCAAATCTCTTCTACTTTAATTTGCTCAAGTGTATCACAGCAATGGAAATCTGACTAATAATCAGTCCTTACTGAGTTTTTCCCCTTATTAACTCTACCTCAAAGTCAAGAGTAAGTTAAGTTTAGGGACCCTGAAGAAATTGATCAGTCAGTAAAGTGATGGTCTTACCAGCATGAGGACTCATGTTAACAAACAAAAACGAATAAAAAACAAAAGCAGCAACAACAAAACAAACCTGGCAAGCCTGCATGTTTGTAATCCCAGCATTGGGGAAGTGGGTCCCTGAAGTTCTAGCCAGACAGCCTAACCTATATATGGAGTTACAGGCAACAAGCGATACTTTCTCCAAAAAAAAAAAAAAAAAAAAAAAAAAGGGAAGAAGTGATCGTCATTGTGGTGCAACACCTCAGGTTGTCCTTGGGTGTCCCCATTCAAATGCACACATGTTTTGTGAACCATACCAAAAAGGAAGTGGCTTTAATAAAGCAGAAATGTGTTGTATGTTATTCCCCTAGATCAAGAGGTGAGGCACAATTTCCTAAGTAATAGGTCAAAAAGAAAAAGCAGGAGGAAACAAAGTTTCCAGCCTAAGCTGTGTGGAGAGAGAAAAGGGGAAGATGACTCAGATTCTGAGCCAGAGTGGAAACCATGAATGTTGAAGGAATAACAAGGGTAACCGTGTGTAAAGATCCAGCAAACCCATGTAAATGTGGCTAGGGAAGTCCGAACCAAAAACGGATGTGGGAGAGTCATCACATAGATTGTAAGTGAAATCATAGAAACGGAAGAAGTGACTAAAGAAGAGAGGCCAGAGGAAAGGGACTTGGGCTTGGAGGACAGCTCCTGTTTGTGGTTGGGGAAGAGCAGAAGGCAGGACTGAGTGAGGAAGGTCCCAGCCCAGTGGCTTGCTGGGGGAAATGTACAAAGAGGGTTAAAAGAGAAAGCCCTGAGGATTAGGGAGGGAAAAGCTCAGGAGATACTCCAGAGGACTGAGTGGGCACGACAGGAGAGACTAAACCACACCAAAAATGGGTTATGGAAGGAATAAGTTAAAAGGGGATCCCCAGAGACACCGCCCACAATCTTTGGAGAAAACTGAAGGAAACAAATATAAAAGCAACGAAAGTCTGAGTAAAGCCCAGTGTACCTCCTTTTACTGAGATCAGTGCTCCTCCACCTGTGGGGCCATGACCTCTTTGGGGGGTCAAATGACCCTTTCACAGGGTCACCTAAGAAAACACAAATATTTACATTACAATTTATAACAGTAACAAAATTACAGTTATAAAGTAACAATGAAAGTAATTTTATGGTTGAGGGGTCACCATAACATGAGGAATTATCTTAGAGGGTCCCAGCATTAGGAAGGTTGAGAAGCACTGATCTAGACGGAAGTTTTTAGAAATTTGCATGAAGAATCATGTTTGTTTGTTTCCTTTTGCTGCAGTAAAATGCTCTGTCAGAAGGAACTTTGGGAAAAGGGGTTTATTTGAGCTTTCAGTTCAAAGTTACAGTTCATCTTACCAGGGAAGCCACAGCAGAGCTTAAGGAGGCCTCTGGTCACACTGCATCCACAGTCAGAAGCAAAGAATGTTAAATGCAGGCTCAGCTCCATCTTTCCCTTTTACTCAACGGGAGACCCCGCCCATGAAACACAGAAGGTTGCCTTTCACACTGCAGAGTTAACGTTGAACCTGACTAGTTAGGATGCCTCCCTGTCCATCAGGTTCCTTCCCAGCAACTCTGACTATAACATTAGACTTGAAGATTTATTTTTAAGGAAAGATATGGGGGTATGTGAGAGGGATAAAAGAATAATGAAGGGAGAAAATTACCAAAATACATCATATACATATATGACATTGTCATCATTAAATAAAATTTTAAAAGATATGGGGACTTAACTTCTACCTTGGGACAACCAAGGGCAATAGCAATATTTTGTATGTTTAGGGAATCTCTTGGACAACTCTGACCCCGCTATTGATGAAGTCATAATACACCTCAGACTTAAGGCCCTGAGCCAGAACTGATTTGAATGCCTCCTCCCTGAAGACTTTTTTCATGGTACCAGAAGGCACCATGCAAGCTTCCAAAGGAAGGAAGCAACCAAGGTCCTTCCCAGCTATGACATCTATGACCAGCCAAGCACCATAACCCTAAGGGTGCATTAGTGGCACACATGCCTTACCAGTAATGAACAATTTGGTGGTTGGCCTTAAAACCCACTTAACAAGAAGGATATCATGCCTCGTACTGGAAACTTCTCAAGGCCAGTGAAGTCATGGGTCTTGGAGAAGAGTCTATAAGCACCACTTTATGCAATCAGCGTAATCCCTAGCTACATTCTAAACATTTGTCTTTCTACCCACAGATAGGTTTAATACTGACCTCTCATTGAGGAAACTCCTCTTTGCGAGCCACCATGTGGTTGCTGGGAATTAAACTCAGAACCTCTGGAAGAGCAGCAGTCAGTGCTCTTAACTCCTGAGCCATCTCTCCAGCCCCTAAAACTCCTCTTTGCAACAGACAGAGACCACTACAGAAAAGCACAACCAATCAAAATGCAGAGTCATGGAGCCCAGTCCCAATGAGTACATTTACAAAACACTCCTGCACCTAAAGCTCAAGGGGTGTTGCAGAAAAGGGGATGGAAAGACTATAAGAGGCAGAGAACCAGGGAGTTTTCTGTGATAGTGTGTATTCTAGTAATATCAGAAGCTAAACCGATAACACTCAACAACATGACGGCCTAAACATGATCTGAAAAAGGACAACAGGCATGCCAAGTGGATGGGGAAGGCCCTATACAAAGAACTGCAGGCAACTAAGGAATGCTGAAAGTAAGAGATGTGATCTTCCCTCCAGGGAAGAACACACCAATTGGATATCCAATACCAAATGCTTGGCCCTAAAAACATAAATACAAGTAACATTACACAGATTGAGCAGATATAGGAATATATATATATATATATATGTATATATATATATATATGTAGTAACAATAATTAATAAAAAAAAAAAGAGGCTGTGAATTTGAATGAGAGCCAGGAGGGGTACATGGAGGGGTTTGGTTGGAGGAAAGGAAAGGGGAAATGATGTAGTTATATTATAATCTCAAACATAAAAGAAAAAATTTTTTAAAGATATGAGGGCCAGTAAGATGGCTCTACAAGCAAAGTGCTTGCCCATGTGACCTGAATTCAACCCTCAGGGTCAACTTAAGGTACAAGGTGAGCACTGTCTCCACAGCTCTGGCTGTGTGACATGCCCTGTCTGCATCCACACATGTACACATCATGCGCACAAATGTGCAGACACAACAATTTAGTAATAAAAAGATATGGGGGGCCGGAGAGATGGCTCAGCAGTGAAGAGCACAAACTGCTCTTTCAAAGGACATGAGTTCAATTCCTAGCAGCTCATAACCACCTGTAACTCCAGCTCCAAGACAGATTAGATGCCTCTGGATTCCAAGGGCACCTGGATTCATGGTCACACAGAAGCATAAATATACACATAATTTAAAAATAAAATGTTGGCTGGGTATTGGTGGCACATGTCTTTAATTCCAGCACTCGGGAGGCAGAAGCAGGAGGATCTCTGTGTTAGGCTCCAAAGCTACACAGAGAAACCCTGTCTCAAAAACAAACAAACAAACAAACAAACAAAATAAATAAATAAATAAATAAAATCTTAAAAACAAAGCCAGGCAGTGATGGCACACACCTTTAATCCAAACACTTGAGAGGCAGAGGCAGGCAGATCTCGAGTTCGAGGCTAGCCTAGTCTATAGAGCTAGTTAGTTCCAGGATAGCCAGGACTACACAGAGAAACCCTGTCTTGAAAAACAAACAAACAAATAAATAGTCATATGGGATACCTTGGAGTATAATCAAGACTTGTAAATTACCCAGTTGGTAATCATAAAAGAATATTTTCAAATATTGCCTCCTTGAAAACAAACAAAAATGCACAAGAATTAATCTAGCTAGCAGTATATTATTCATAAATCACATTGGACACGTAGTCTACTTGTTCTTAGGTGAAGTATCTTTCATATGCTTCTGGTAAGAGGCAAAGAAGCTGCATTGTTGACTGTCTGGTGATTTCCAGTGCCCAGGATCAGGAAGGCGATTGTGTGATGGTTCACATTTGATATGAGTTTGGGAAGGGAAAACGGCTGTCATTTCCAGCAATACCAATGTTATTTTTAGCAAATATGCCTTCAAAGGACTTCCTACACATATTGCCATAATAAAATCATTTAACATAATATGAAGGCATTATCATAAGAGAAAATGTTTCTAATAGAATCACTTCAGATTGTACTTTTAGCAGCATCCAGATCCGTAATAATACTGTGGAAGGAAAAGTTGTGTCTGAGCTCACAGAGTCCAAACAAATGGCCAAAGTTTGGTAGCTTAAGAACACCAGAATATTGGAACCCATCTACACTGTGGTGCTTTGCAGACACTTTTGAGGAAGCAATTATTATCCATGAACAACCAGAACTGATTTATGTAACTTCCACATTGCACAGAGGATTGAGTCATGCAGCAAAATACTGAATCATTTGGCCAGATAATTTACACACAGTTGTAGGAATTGCTAGTGGGAATCTTAAGAGCTTTTCATAAATCGAATCATGAAGCTTTTAGAGTCATAAATCATAGAGTTCATTACTAATCTACAATTTCTAAGAATATGCAATTTACAAAGACAACTCGAACACTGAAATTATTTCCTGGGTAGGTTCAAGGTTTGTCATATGATTTCTGGCATTCCAACATTTTTTTTGGGGGGGGCGAGGTTGTTGGTTGGTTGGCTGGTGGTTAAAGACTCCAGAAGTCTGAGTGAGTGTGTGTACATACGTGTGTGTGTGTGTGTGTGTGTGTGTGTGTGTGTGTACACATACAGATATATGATAGGTAGGTAGATAGATATAATTTTGTAGTACTGGGAATTGAACTCAGGGCTTTGCCATGCTAGGTGAGCACACTACCACTGTGTAGCTTTAGCTGGGCTGGAAGTCAGTATGTAGACCAGCATGACTTTCAATTCTACTTGTTTCTGCCTCCCAAATGCTGGGATTAAAGTTATGTACGACCATGCCTAGCTCTGACATTACTAAATGAAAAAAAAGAAAAAGAAAAAAAAGGTAAAATGTTCACAGTTGCATGTATAAATGTTATAAATAAATAAAATATTGATTAGTATTAGTTAACTCAATTTAATATCTTCCTGGTAATAAAGCTATAGTCACTTTGAAGGAATTATTCCTATTTTGCAATCTTTAGGATTTAAGCATTAATTTTAAAATTTATTTTCTGCATTAAATATTTCACGCTATTGCATCAATTTGCCTGAAAGAATAGTATCGCTTAAAAGGGAAGAAATAATGTGTACCAAGAAAACTTCATGAGTGGTTATTGAAATGCTTTTCAATAACACATAGTTTCAGAGGTTTTGAAACTATCCTAGTGTAAGAATATACCAAGAATCCTCAAGAACAGAAACAAAAGTGCATTAAAATGTCTATATAACACCGGACACCTTGTGGAATAGAATAGGATAACAAACAGCAAACATACTAATTTAGACTGTAGAAGAGTTTACATTTCAAAGCCTACTGCGTTGGCATCCCCAGCTCTACCATAGCTTCACCACACAAGTTCTCAACTTGGATTCCAGAGCAGAGTTTCTAGGGATCTGAGTTTATATGAGAAAAAATATCTCAACTCCACCTACTCATGATTTCCAGCCTTCCACCAGAGACAGAATGTCATGGCTTGTACATTTGTCCCTTTCTGAAGTGCATGTTGAAACTTTATTGCTATTATGTAGTATTGGGAGGTAAAAATCTTTGAGAGTAGAATCCTTGTGAAGGTTTATATGAAGTTATGCCCATCTTAAAAGTAGGTTATAAAAGGGCAAGTTCAGCTTCTTCCTCTTTCCCTCTCCTGCCTTGAGATGAGGCAGCAAGAGGGCTCTAACCACATGCTGACACTTCTCAGACTCCAGAGGTCTGAGTGAGTGCGTGTGTGTTATGTGTACATACATGTATGTGTGTGTGTGTAATACAGATAGATGATTGATAGATAGATAGATATACAGACAGTCAGACAGACAGACAATTTTGTAGTACTGGGAACTGAACTACATGCCATGCTAGGTGAGCACACTACCACTGAGTTATAGCTGCAGCCCAAACCAATACAGTTCTGTTCACTGTAAAGGACAAGGCCTGTGCTTTTCTGTTACAGCATCACAGAATATACTCCATTGAGATGCTGCTCGGGTATTCTTGTAGGCCTAAATTCTTGCTCCCTGTCCTATGCCCTGAACACTAGGCTTCAGTATTTCATCAACATAACTACATTCTGTCACAGCTTCTGTCATGAGACTTTTTATTTCATTGCATGACTGTCAATCTCAGGATTTTCAGGTCTAGTATCCTGAGGAACCTTTATCTCTCAGTCTGATAAGTTCTGTTTCCTCCACGCTCCCTTCTGTCTGTCTAACTAGTGAAGAGTGGACACAGTGTTCATACATTCCACACAGAAATGGACTCTGACTCATTATCCCTTAAGGGCCTTATGATGACTCCTGGGGGCCCAGTAGTTACTTGCTGTTCTTTGCAAAATCCCATGGCCATCTGTCATGAGATAATAATCTACCTTGAGAGAATACTGCAGGGCTGA